TTCGGCTCGGGTCATTTCGGCTTACGGTTTGTGAGTTGGAGCCCTGCTGTCCGCACTGTCAACGCAGAACCTGCTTCGAATCCTCTCTCCCCCCTCTCTCTGCCCCTACCCTGCTCACTCTTTCTCTCTTAAAATAAATAAAATTAAAAAAATTTTTTAAATAAAATAAAATAAAGCAATTAGCATCACATGCTAGGCATAATATTGGACTCACCGTGTTAATGTGATTGGTTGATTCAATAGGCATTTAATAACCACTTGTTACGTGTCAGGTACTCTGCCAGGACTTCAGAACCACAATATATATGGTATCATAAAGATGCTCCAGTCAGGCTTGTAAATCAGCAATTACGGTGCATCATGACAGGTACTGGGCAGTGGTGTGCACAGAGGGCTGGGAAGGTGCTTGGGGTCCACAGGGAAGGAGGGGGTGCAGCATCTACAGCTGATGGGACTCTCAAGGGCAACACTTGAACTGACCCTAAAAGGAGCAGAGCCACTTAATTCGACTGAGGAGGAGTGCCATTCCAGGGGAAAGAGTAGAACACAGGACGGAGTGAAAATAGGAGACTGGGTGATACTGTTAGGAACCCAGCAAGAGTGATGATGGAGAAGGTGCTCCAGGGAGGTACTCATAGACAGGAGTGGAGACGCCGAATTGTTTAAAGGAAAAAGAAAAGGCTTCTGACAAAACAAAACCACAGAGAATGTTAGCACAATTTCTCTGGGCTCTGCTTCTAGAGTCCTAAAGAAAGTAAGGTGGGGCTAAGCTAATGCAGGTAGGAATAACAACAATTATCCCCATTTTACAGATATGAAAACTGACAGGTTGTTGCTAACTCTGTGAAGTATATATTATCATCCCCACTTCACAGATGAAGAGACTGAGGGCAGAGCAGCTAAATCCACTTTACCCTAACAAGAGCATCCATCTGTTCAGTAGCCAGTTCATGTAATAAAAAATATTTTATCGGGAGAGCGTGCCATCGGTCTTGACTTTCTCTATCCTAATACAACCTGAGTAACTGAAAAATCCCTGCTTCATTTGCAGCAGTTAGCCCCCGAATAAATATACATACCGCTCACATCTAAAACGCCTTACCCTCAAACCCAAACACTGTCCGCATCTCCTGCAACGACACGACCCTGAGTTTTTAATTGTTGACTTGAAGACTTAGGATATTTCATATCTGCAGCAATTGAAAGAATGCTATTCATGTTAACCGCAAGAGGCTTAAGAGAGAAAGCTAACTGTGGCGTCGCATTCTTGGAGATAGCAGAAGAGGCTGTTCTGTTGTTTCACAGCAGCAGGGGTCTGAGGGCCCTCTGGGCGGCCTGCCAGCAGGAAGGTGAGTCACGGGGCAGCGCCAGAACTTCTGAACTCGTCCCCTTCAGGGACGAGGAACTCAGCGCCCACAGGGCATGAGATCAGCTGCTTTTAAGGACACTCTGGTTGTCAGGCTCAACGAACACCCACACTAGACATCGCCGGTCATGTAAGAAGAAGGACATGTGGTTCCTACGTTGCCTCCGAGATCCCGGTTCCACAGGAACGCTCGGAGACATATTTTCCCCAAGGCCTTCCAAGAAAACGAGGAGTGCTCGTTTTCCACAAGTTTGGTTAGTTTTAGGACACTGCAATTTCCAAATAATATTACCTCCCCTCCGAATGTGAATTTATTCTAAGGCACCATGTTTCATGAGTCCCTCAGACATTCACATCGCCTCCATTAAGAGAGACGTATCTTGGGGCGCCTGGGTGGCGCAGTCGGTTAAGCGTCCGGCTTCGGCCAGGTCACGATCTCGCGGTCCGTGAGTTCGAGCCCCGCGTCAGGCTCTGGGCTGATGGCTCAGAGCCTGGAGCCTGTTTCCCATTCTGTGTCTCCCTCTCTCTCTGCCCCTCCCCCGTTCATGCTCTGTCTCTCTCTGTCCCAAAAATAAATAAACGTTGAAAAAAAAAAATCTTAAAAAAAAAAAAAAAAAGAGAGACGTATCTTCTTGTTCAGATCTTCAGAGAAAAATGCTTCAATGGATTATCTTATGGTCTTTAACGACCTCTCGGTTTTCAGTCATCACTTCTTTGAACATGAACTACGTATGCGTCTTGGGGTCTTCCTTTCACACTCTGCATGTACCAGTGAGTAGCAAGTGATTCATCCAATTGTGAAAGAAGTCTTCATTGGTGGCAGAAAGAAAAAAAAAAAAACAACATACCAACTTGTTGGTCTATACTACATCAAAAAACTTTGTTGATATAATCAACCAAATTTTATTGAACCTGATTTTAATCACTTCTATCGAAGAGATCTGTACTGTATAAACACAACAAAAATTTAAGGCACTGCAAATCTTGTCACTTATCCATGAAGTGACCTTTGACCTGGATTTAGATCTGTCTTTGGAGGTTAATCTTCAAAAACACAGTATGGGAAACATATATAATCATAGCCTCAGTGACTGAATACTCTCTGATGTTACAATCAACTTTGATGATTTTACAAAGTCTATCTTTACAAAAGTGTCATAAAACTGATCCATTGTTAGCGCTGTCCTGCCATTGATGTAAAATGAATAGTTTCATTGTATAGCAACTTTACAGAAAAGGAGAGAAATTAAATCGCCCTATCTTCCCTCCTTTTTCCCTAAAGATAATTTTTTTTTTCTTTCTGACAATTGAATCTGCACGTGCAGAATCCCAGCTCTGTTAGCTACCCGAATTTCCTTGACTCTGACCAGCCCCTAGAATGACTCTCACCCCATTTTCTGCCCCAGGAGCATTTTCACCAACATGTACTGAAGATCAGCCCTTGGAAAGCAGCCGGCTAACCGAATCACTGGTAGTCATGGAAAGCTGACTTATATTTACACTCTGGGGCTCACTTGCACTGAGTCTCAACTCACTTGGCCTTAGATACCAGTAGGCCTCAAATTGACAATGGCAGCTGATATATCCCAAACTTAATATTTTAAATATTCATATGCAGTTATTGTCCCATCTGTGCTACAAATAACTTTTAGTTGATTTGTATTCAGAATCTCTAATTATATGCCGTAATTAACAAACTTTATAGTTAAGATAAACTTTTTATTTTACTTCTTATTAATAAAATAAGATCACATCATGGTTATTTTGAGGATAAAATTAAATCATATATCTGTACATATAGGATGAGGGTGAGGGTTTGCAGACCTATTTAATAAAAGAAACTTCATGGCTTATGCTACGAACGATATAGAAGATTGTGAAAGACCGATGTCCTCACCTGAAAGTGTGTACTTTAATAGCATCTAATGAGTATATCATTTTGTAACTTAACATGGGTACCTTGTATTTGTAATATTTTAAAAAATGTTTTAATGTTTATTTATTTTTTAGAGAGAGAGAGAAAGAGACTGCAAGTAGAGGAGGGACAGAGCAAGGGAGACACAGAATCCGAAACAGGCTCCAGGCTCTGAGCTGTCAGCACGGAGCCCTACGTGGGACTCAAACTCACAAACCATGAGATCATGACCTGAGCCGAAGTCAGATGCTTAACCAATTGAGCCACCCAGGTGCCCCGGGTACCTTGTATTTTTAATTCATTATTTTTTAATTATTTGTATTTTATCTCCCCAAATATCTTGGCAGCTTCTAGAAGAGAGAAGCTATGCCCTACACTCTCATTCTTCCCCATAGTACTTAACCAAGTGTCTGCTCAAAATGAGCACTCAATCGATGTCACATATCTGCTTTGCATTCACAATATCTGATTACAACCGTCACCTGGGACAGCAGGTATTCTGATCTTTCTAGAGACTCAGTGTGAGAGGTTAAGTGATTGCCTAGAATCCCATAACTTGTATGTGGTGAAACCAGGATTCAAAAGAAAGTCTGTGTGCCTCCACAGGCCATATCTCTTAGGGACTGACAGACCCTGTATGCCCACCCCCCTACCCCCACCAAGAAGCTCTCACCCCCAGCAACCTGGACCTCCAAGTTGCAAGGAGCCCGGAATACTAAGACACATTTAAGAACTCCCAATTTCAAATACTGAATTTTCTTTTACAGTATTCACATGCATTCAATGTATTCACTATATATTCAACACATGAATTGTGTTTATCAAGGCCAAGGATGGAGTTTCATCCACCCTCACGCATCTAGCTTATGGATAGAACAAACCAAAAATTTTAAGTTATTGATAACATTTCTCTGATTAATCAGCAGCACAGTGATGATGGCTATATTCAAACATCGTAAACTGTTCTGTCAAGATGTTTTAAAAATTTAGAAAGCATTTACTGTGCATATTAGCATCCCTAAAAGTGCCATCGTCATTATAAATGTGTTAGAGGAGATAAATTTGAAAGCTTAATTGCTTTAATCTATTTAATCATAGATCTTTTATTCGTCTTGAGAATCTTGCTGTTCGTACTAACGGAAAGATGAAATCCATATTCTCAACGTTGTATTTCTTGCAAACAATACCATAGATATGCCCATTTGTTCACATGTTAGTTTAAGAACTGTATTTGGAGTTGGGGCACCTGGGTGGCTCAGTCGGTTAGGTGTCCAACTTCGGCTCGGGTCGTGATCTCATGATCTCGCGGGTTGTGGGTTTGAGCCCTTGGTCAGGCTTTGTGCTGACAGCTCGGAGCCTGGAGCCTGCTCCCTCTGTCTCTGCCCCCTCCCCCGCTCACGCGCGTGCGTGCTCTCTCTCAAAAATAAATAAACATTAAAAACATATTTAAAGAGCTGTATTTGGAGACACCAGTACTTTCATTTTTTTCCCCAGAAAGGCAAGCCTCTGATTCCTTCTTTCTTATGGCATCGACGCTCATTCTTTCTTGAATCTCCATGTGCACAAACAGAATTCTTCAGAGGAAAATGCCATTAGCCATGGTTTGGGATTCCTAGTGCCAAGTCAAAAATTCTGCAACGGTTTTTTCTAAACAACAGATGTGCACGATGCCATCTTTCGGCAATGGTTTGTTCACCATGAACTTCTAATTATCCACAGGTTATCAGATGTCCTCTTGGTGCAATCCTGCCCTGGGAGCTTATGTGCCAGCTAATTGCTTCTGAATTCTGTGCTCACGGTTTCCTTCACCCATCTGGAGCATCTTGTGGGAGTACACAAACAAAGACCCTGGCTTCCCAGCAAGACTGTCAACTCACCCTCTGGTGAGAGGTCACAAACTGGCCACCCGAGGGTGAATCTGGCTCCCAGATGCCTTTCATTTACCGAGTGTAGTGTTTGAGCTTGCTCAGCCATATTATTGCTTTGAAATCTGGCTACTCATGAAAATCAATTGGGAAGCTTTTAATATTCATGCCTGAGACCTGTACCGACTGAATCAGTCGGAAATAGGACCTGGCTCTCTGAATATGTTTCAAGCTCTCCAAGCGATTTTCATGCTAACCACAGTTGAGGAGCACTGCAATCTATATTTAGTGACTGAAAGCATCGTCAAGAAGGAGCTTTGAACTAAGCAACAGGGTAAAACTGGGAAATCTAGAGATGGAGAAAGGAGCAGAAGCCACCCTGGGCCAGACTAATAATGGGTGAATAACCCCATGGATCATATGGAAGAGTCAAAGGGCAAAGCCGGGTGTTGTTCAGGCCAGGTACTCAGAGGCAACCTTTTAAAGGTAAGAACAGTCAACAAATCTAGAATTTCTCTGAGGGCAGCTTATAGTGCCAAGGTAAATATGGTCAAATCTCTACCATTTGGAGGCAGCACCCAGAGGGAAAGATCCCAGGGCCAAGCAAAATAGAGTAGGATGTTTATTGAAGGTGACCAAAAGGATAGAAAACCAGAATTAGGGAGCAGAGACAAGATAAGAATCCAAAGGGTAAGAAAAAAGCCCCAAAAGGCAAGGAAGCCCCAAGTGACTCCACAAAGTAGTTCGGGACTGAGGCACGAATGATGCGAGTTTGTTAGTGCCCTCCATTACCAAGTCCTTGTGGGTGTTCTAGGAATTGTTGCAGGTTAAAACAGCACAATTCATGAAAACCACCTCGAAGCAGAATCAAGGCAACAGATGTGGTGCAGTGGGTCAGTATCAGCAGCAACAAAGATGAACACAACTTGTGTTCCCGTCAGGGGCCTTGGTCTTCTGAAGGGGCAGTGAGACTTGTGTATTGGGTGTTAGGAGTGGCAGTTAATCAGGACCACATAGCATAAGAGACAAGTATTTGACTTAGTGCATAATGGAGCTAAATGGTGCATCAGAAGGACAATCATTCCATTGGAATCACTGTACCCAGGAAGACTTTGGCAACACCATGGAGTTCTTTCTGTGAAGAATAAATGGGACCTGAGTGATTAGTTAGTATTGTTATTGTTATGTGGCCGTGTTAGTTATCTTCTGCAGCCAAATAAATTACCCTAAAACTTTGCAATCTAAAGTGACATTTGTTATGTCACAAAGTCTCTGAGGATCAAGGATCTGGAAGCAGATTAATTGGACCGTTCCGGTTCAAGGTATCTTCATGAGACCACACTCAAAGGTGGGGGCCTAGGTGGCTCAGTCAGTTAAGTGTCTGACTTCGGCTCAGGTCATGATCTCACTGCTTGTGAGCTTGAGGGCTTCACTGAGCTCTGTGCTGACAGTTCAGAGCCTGGAGCCTGCTTCAGATTCTTTCTCCTCTCTTTGTCTCTCTCTGCCCCTCCCCTGCTCACCCACTCTCTCTCTGTCTCTCTCTCTCAAATATAAATAATTTTTTTAAAAATTAAAAAAAAAGACTGTACTCAAAGGTGTAGGTCAGGGCTACAGTCACCTGAAGGCTTGATAGGGATAGAGGATCTGCTTCCTAGCTCACTCATGTGGCAGTGGCAGAGGGCCTCAGCGCCTCACCACATGAGCCTCTCCAAAGGTTGCCTGTAACATAGCAGCTGACTTCCCCTAAAGAGAATGAGCGGTCCGGAGAGACAGGTAGAGACAGAGAGACAAGAAGAGAGACAGAACTTTTACAACCTACCCTCAGAAATGGCATACTACCACCTCTGTCATTCGTGACAGGCCAACCCTGATATGATGTGGGAGGTGTGTACAAGGGCATAAATATCAGGAGGTAAGGATCATTGGGGCCGTCTTGGAGACTGGCTACCACAGTGGGAATTGACGCCATCTTTATTTATAATTTATTTGGTCTCTCAGAAACATCCCCATGGTATAAATGAAGATGCTGGGATTCTGAGAGATTTGGTGTTTTCAACAAGGTCACGTTACCAGTAAATCGTTCTTGGTTACTGGACTTTTTCTGGTCAAGGTGACTTGGAATTCTCTGACCATTCATAAATCGTCTATTATTACTCAGCGGTAGTTCTTCACAACTGCAATAAAATAAGACATGGATTGAAAGGTTTTCTCAATCCATTTGGACCTGGTTAGCATACCTAGCTTAAGCCCAGTCCCTTATAGGGAAATTTCCTCAGACAGTAAGGGATCTGCTTGATTAAATCTTTTCTTAACGTTCAATTCTACTGTATAAGTCAAAACCGTACTCTAGTCTCCACTGGTTCTCAGAATAAGGCCTCCAGCTTTAAAATCTCATTCAGGGGCGCCTGGGTGGTGCAGTCGGTTAAGCGTCCGACTTCAGCCAGGTTGCGATCTCGCGGTCCGTGAGTTCGAGCCCCGCGTCGGGCTCTGGGCTGATGGCTCGGAGCCTGGAGCCTGTTTCCGATTCTGTGTCTCCCTCTCTCTCTGCTCCTCCCCCGTTCATGCTCTGTCTCTCTCTGTCCCAAAAATAAATAAAACGTTGAAAAAAAAAATTAAAATCTCATTCAGTCTCCTGAATGAAGTCTACAAATAGGATTTAATGTCATTTAAGCTCCCAGCAAGCTAATGCACGGTCCATAGATCAGTAGAATAATAAATATATAATTATAAGACAAGGAAATTTAGAGCAGAATGGATTTAGAAAATTGATGAGAATTAGAAGAAAAGGCAAAGTCTGGAAAGTAGAATATCAAAGAAGGCATGTGTAAGGATGCCACGGACCGCATGTCTGTCCCCGCCCCCACCGACCGCCAAATTCTTATGTTGAAATCCTAACCACCAACATGATGGGAATTAAGTCATGAGGTTGCAGTCCTCATGAATAAGATTAGCGCCCTTATAAGAAGTGACAGGAGACCTCTGTCCCTCTCTTTCTCCCCCCAACCCTCCTCTACTTGCTGTCAAATGAAAATACAATGAGATGATGGCCATGTGCAAACCAGGAAGCTTGTGCTCACCACACATTGGATCTGCTGGCGCCTTGATCTTGGACTTCCAGCCTCCAGAACTGTGAGAAATAAATGTCTGTTCTTTAAACCACCTGGCCTAGGGGCGCCTGGGTGGCTCAGTAGGTTAAGTGTCCAACTTAAGCTCAGGTCATGATCTCGTGGTCTGTGGGTTCGAGCCCCTCATCAGGCTCTGTGCTGACAGCTCGGAGCCTGGAGCCTGCTTCAGATTCTGTGTCTCCCTCTCTCTGCCCCTCCCCTGCTCACACTCTGTCTCGCTCTCTCTCTCTCTCAAAAATAAATAAACATTAAAAAAAATTAAACTACCCAGTGTCTGGTGTTATATTATCCCAGCCCAAACTAAGACAAAAGAGATTGGCAAACATTGGCACCCATTGTTTCTAGTGACACATGCTATAAACCTCCTTGCTCCTGCCACTCTTTCGTATTTGACCCTTAATTTATGACACACTCTTTTCTAATAATTTTGCTTTCAGTTTTTTGTTAGGAGAGGCATTCACATTACATAAAATATTTTAAATGCCCTAACCATTTTATTCCCTTCGTGTGGGGATTTTTGTGCATCCTGCCTTTAGATATTTTATGCAAATAGAAGCAAATACATACCCTGTGTCAGTCTATAATTTTTCCTCTTTTTCTACAAGTGAAAACATACCATACATAGTATTATGCACCTCAATTTTTCTAATTAATAACATCTTTTGCACAGCTTTCTATGTCAGTACACAAAGAGCTTCCTTGTTCTTTTTAATAGCTTAACATTATGCCATTTGGGTTATCTAAAATCTTTTGCTGTATAAGCACTGCCTCAAGGAATAGTCTGGTACACATGCCACTTTATACACAAGGGTTAGTATACATACGGGATAATTTTTTAGAAGCAGCATTGCTGGGTCAACAAATGTGTGCATTGATGATTTTGATAGCATTTGCCAAATTGCTTCCTTAGAAGTCATAACAATTCAGATTTTCAGCAGCATGGTGTAAAAATGGCTGGTCATCCACAATCTTAGCAGTAAGACTGATATTTATGCCTTGTCTAGTCTGATAAGTAAAAAAATGGTACCCTTGTGTAGTTTATTTCATATTTCCCATATTAAGAATGAGTTTGAAAGGGGCGCCTGTGTGGCTCAGTTGGTTAAGTGTCTGACTCTTGGTTTCTGCTCTGGTCATGAGCCCATGGCTTCGTGGGTTTGAGCCCCGCAATAGGGTCTGCACTGGCAGTGTGGACCCTGCTTGGGATTCTCCCTCTCTCTCCCTCTCTCTCCTCCCCTCCCCCACTTGTCTGTCTCTGTCTGTCTCAAAATAAATGAAGTTTAAAAAAATAAAATCAATTTCTTAAGAAAAGAGAATGAGTTTGTGTATCTTTTTGTATGTTTAAAAATGATTTTAATTTCATTTCCTTGTAGTTTCTATTCACACATTGTTTAACTGAGTTATTGATCTTTTTCTTAATGATTTGCAGGAGATTTTTATACATTAAAGAAACTAGCCCTTTGCTTGTGAAATGAGTTTCAAGCAATTTTCCCTATTAAGTTTGTTTTCCAACTTCACCTGTGGTGTTTTCTAATTTTGGGGGGTGGGGTGGGGTATGTATAACATTTTTATTTTTATGTGGTCACATCTATCAATCTTTTAAAATGCTTTCTGAGTTCTGTGTCACACCATTTCTTAAGCAATTACCTCTCCTACAATTACATAGACTCAGAGAAGACACATCTTTAAGTCAAACCCACAGAAAATCAACTTTTGTTCAAAGCCCAAGATGCTCCCGGAAATAAAAAAAGTGAAAGAAATTTTGAAGAACACAAAGACAGTTTTAAATAAGCAGCAGTAGTGTTTCTTGTTTTGTCTGTTGGTGATCCATGGGTGCGGGTGCCTTCCCTAATTCCACTTTTGGCTGGATCATTGGCCAGGTCAAAAAAGAAAGAGAGAGAGAGAGAGAGAGAGAGAGAGAGAGAGAGAGAAGGAAAGAATAAGCAAGCAAGGAGGCAAGCAATCATACCTTCCACTCTGAAGGTGTGGTGTGAACAAATGAATCAGGCAGATTTGGGGAAGGGGAGGGTGCCAGGATTTATGGCCAAGGCTCTCCTCACCTAGGCAACAGTTGGTAGGCAGCATTTGTGGCAGTGGCTAAAAGCTATTCCAGGGCTTGGCTGGGACAGTATCTGCTGAATAACTAGGCCAGTCCTGGAGCCAAGATCCACAGCACAGCTGCTGTTGCTGCTGCTGAAGAAGGCTCAAAACTCATTTTTTGCTGAGTCAAATCTCTCTTTGGGGATTTAGAAAACAAATGGGGCTCTGAGAAGTGGAAATTCTCCTGGACAAGTCTTTGGGAAACAATGCAGTGCGTCTTTTTGGTTTTTTATTCTTATATAATGAATTCAATCAAAGGTAGAGACCCTACCTTCACGATAGATGTAAGACTAACTCACCCTGGAAGAGACTTCTCTAGTTTTAGGCAAGACAGTGAGACTAGAAAAATGAGAACATGAGAAAAAGAAGAGTAGAAGGAAAAAAAAATACATGGAGATATATATTTCAATATAAAAGACAGAGGCACACAATTTTCCATGCCAGCTAGTCTGCTGTGTATAAATAGGAGGAGCTCAAGGTAAACTACCAAGAAAATGACTCATCTGGGCAAGAATAAGGAAAGAGATCAAGTGTTCCTGAGTTATTAGTAACTTGAAATTACACCCTTATGCAGAGAACCTTCAAAGCTGCATTCTCTAAGCTTTGACCTCTGGTAAATGCATGACCCAGCAATGACTTTAGGTAACGAGACCCAGGATGCTCCAAGGAATGTTCAATGTGTCTTGCCCACATACATTTTTTTTTTCAGTTTTTTTCCCAATATGTTTTCCCTTATGCATTTCATAAAGTGTTTTAACTAAACTGTGGGTATTTTAAAAACTCGTTCTATTGTTTGCCACCTCATCATTACCTTAGCAAATATTTATTGAGTACCTACTATGTGTAGGCCACCATGCCAGGCTGCTAGCAGGAATTCAAAGAGGTATGAGTGATGGTTAGCAACTTCCAGATTTTTGCAGCCTACAAAGCCATGTATAAGACATGATAATGATGAAAGGAGAGGAGGAAGAGAGGTGGAAGAAGGGGAAACAATATGGGATATCAGAGTTCTGGTACT